TTGCTGAAGCTCTTCCTCATGGACAAAGTCTGTGTTCCATTGGTCTACACACAGGTGAGTAGTGAGTTGGTGTTCGTGTTGATGCTGGTGCTGTCACTGATTGGTGTCTTCTCGTTCCCAACTCCGCCACCATTTGGTGAGTGAGTGAGTGAGTGAGTGAGGCAGGTTGTCTTCACTCGTTAATGCCTCTCACGCACTGAGTGAGTGGTGCGCATGTCAGCGCACAGCGTACGCCACTTCGTGCACACCTCACCTCTCACAACAGCCCCACTTGCATGCATGCATGCATGGCTTGCCCATCAGCTCGGCAGACACAATGCAGTGGCGTGCGTGTGCGTGCACGTGGGCCTTGCCTAGACGTCAGGGCAAGCATGAGGAGACGGTCATACGCCAAGGTGTATGGGGAGTGGGAGTGTGGTGTTGAGGGTTGTAGGCGTGGAGTTGGGCAATACACACGAGTGTCAAATAAAGGAAGGCAGTAAATAATGCAGTTGTGTGAATTTTCTCCCATCACTTTAGTGGGAGCACTTTTATCGGCTGCTGACCAACTGTGGTGGGTGGAGGTGGTGTGGGTAAGAGAGAGGAGGAGGAGGGAGGAAGGGGAGACTGGAAGGAGGAGGGGAGAAAAGGGTGCGAGTGTAGCCGTGGGAGCATTGTGTGCTGCTGCCTCAATGCCCTCATCGTAAAACTGACCCACTTCGTGATGGCCTGAGTGACTCATCACACGCTATACTGCTGACTCACTAGCAGTCGTGTTGGTGCTGCTGCTGCTGTTGTTGAAGGAGGTGGGGTCGGTGTGTTGGGCTAACTGGATGGTGAGTCTCCTCACAAAGAGCTTCAAACGTGTCTCAGACTTGAGGTTGGAAGTGGGAGCATGTGGTCAGTGTTGACTTGTAGCGGTAGTGCTGAACTGTCACTGCAGTAGTCGGCGACAGTGTTGTGACCAAATGCGGAAACGGGGCAGTCGGAAGTGGAGAGTGGAGGTGGTGGAGGAAGAGGAGTTGTGTTGGGGAAGGGGTGATGAGGTGTTGTGTGATGACTGTCACGTCGTGTTGCTGCAGCTGTTGCAGCTGGTGCAGCAGCTGCTGCTGTGGTTGTTGATGAAGCGGATAGGGGATGAGGCGGAGAGGGGATGTGTGCCTGTTTAACGCGTTTCAGGTGGTGACTTTGGCGGTCTACTCGTACTTCCTGTCCTCCATCATTGGTCGTCAGTTCATCGTCAACACATCGGAATACTCGGAGCCGTTCAGGCGGGACTACTACGTTCCACTGTACACAATTCTCGAGTTCATAGTGTACATGGGATGGCTAAAGGTGAGTGACGTCTGATTGTCTGCGCATGAATTCAACACCCCACACCATCCGTTTTTCAGGTGCAGAATTCCAGTGGAATGATATCTCTTGTGGAATTTGATAAGTTACTCAAGTTTTGCCATGAATTGGACCGCTTAGCTACCAGCAACGTCTTCTCGTCCAAAATTACATGTCAAAATCCCACAAAAAAACCTTTTGAATTGACTTTAAGTGATCTTATTAACATAGATCCGCTTTTTATGTTCCATTTGGTATGCTGCTTGTCGTCATGACTTGACTCTTCACTCGAGACTTTTAAGAGTATGTTGAAGTCCCTGGAGAAGGTTGAATGTATTTGGAAGGTGATTTGCCTCCACCATTGCTAACGAAGTATCGTAACCTCGCTCTACTTAATGAAATTTTTTTGTTTTTTTTTTTTGATGCGAAGGGCACAAACGCAATGTTGACTTTCTGAACAGCACACAACGCATTCCTTGGTGTGTGTTGGAAACTGATGTGCCGCGTCTTTTTTTCACCAGCTGAATGTCACCTTTCTGACGCATGCAATAAAAGTCCAAATGAAAGGTTTGATTCCACTAACTGTGAATGTTTTTTTTTAATAGAAAAACGCCTAAAACTTCACTTGTCTTACAAACAATTGTTACTTTGATACGAATTTTATGTAATTCTATGTAGCACGTGAAAGTCGAAAAAAATGAAAGCAAAAAACACTCACAATTCTCGACCTCAATTAGACTGATGTCCCTCTTCATCTCCATTTCAAGCCAAAGTTGCTTCAGCTCGTATTCAACCACGCCTTTATAATCTGTCAACCCTCTACTGACATGAACGATGGGTGGGGGCGGGGGAGTGACAGGTGACATGAGAACACTGACATCGACACCCAGTAATGGATAGTGGTTGTGTCAATTCGTACAAAAATAGGAAAAAAAAGCTGCTTTTGCAATGAGACCTGCAGCCATGATTCGGCTTTGAGGGTCTGAAAAAGGTGTCTCTAACATTTTCCTATTCTCATATCTTGTTATTATTTTTTTTAACAATATTAAATCACCATTTTTGTTTACACTTTAAATTTTTTTGGGTCTCGCGATAGGAATTTTGTACTTAAATTTAAAAATTTTCTCATGAAAAAGCACCACAATCAAAGTGTACATCAAAGACATGCGAAAGGCACCAAACCAAGGTTTGACTTACCAGCTTGAACGAGGTGTTGTGTGGTGGGAAATCGTTTCTTAGCAGCCACATGAAGTCGAGATGCCGCGATAATGAGGCTGGCATTCATGTATCGTACACACGTCCGTCGAATTGCTCTGGCTCTTCCCTCGCCTTGAATGGCTCCCATCACCGCCAAGGTTGGTGTAAAAACCCACGGCACTGAGTTAAATTGTTGCCAAAAACGTGAAAATACCAACTGGACGTAGAATCCGAGGATGAAGGAGATGGGAATCATTTGTTGAAAGTCAAAGACATACAGCACCACACTCTCGAATTGCTTCTGTTGACTGGCCGTCAAGGCGAAACGGTAGATGCAACTCACCACTCCGTAGGCCACGATAAAAACAATGAAGTCAATGTAGATCAGTTTGATGACACAGCCCTTCCATCTACCAAAAACAAATGGCGTTAATAAGCTCCTCAGCAGCGTCTCTATCCTGTTTCGAGGCTTTATTGGCCAATTAAATGTCAATGACTTTGAGTAGTTGACAGCATTAATGAAAGGGAAATGTTTCCTGTCAGGTAAGATATGCAACGGCAAGGCCCTTTAACCTTCGTCCTGACTTAATTTAAAATTAATTAATTTTAATGTAAACTGCTGTTTTAAAGTGCTCAAAGTTTTCACTGGTCGGTCAAATGGTGTGTCGGGCAGAGATCAAAGATGCTAATATCAAAATTTTACAACTATTTTAAGTTAGCCTTCACGAGTCATGGATGAATTATTAAAAAAAATTACCTCAGAAGAAGACGTAGAAATACCACTGGACCTCCGGTTAGAACATCTTGATTGTACTGCACAGTCATGCTGGGACGACAACCACCTGAGGGTGCAGTTGCGTGGAATAAAATGTGCACAACGCAGCCCTCCGGTTCGACGCTTCAAGTGGCTTTGAGTCGCTATTGGCCTGACCTTAAGGCGGAGGAAGGGTGTGGGCAGGCAATTCTACTAGACTCCAACGTTCTCTCACTCCAGTGGTGCATGCAGGGGTACGCCCATGTGTGTGCGTTCGCTCTAATTATGCAAATCACCTAATGTTCTGCAATGACATTTGACAATTTGATCGAAATGTGTGCAATTTTCAGTGTCGACACCTTCAAAGTGGAACTGAGATACTGTCATAATTACAGCCCATGACAGTTACAAATTAGTAAGCACGACACCTGGCGTATGACCATCTTCATCACAAAAAAATTTTGCTATACAATGAGAAACTTTTAGCTTTTTTAAACTTTGTACAAAAATTGTTAGACATGTGCATGACCCAACGGCTTTTTAGCCTTTTTTAAGCTAACAAATGTACTTTTCTTTGACGATTGTTTCAAAAAAAAGCATTTCGATTCTCAAAACATTTGCGTTTCACTCTAGTCAACGCATCAAAAAAGCATTACTGTTTCTCAAATTATAGTAAAAAAATTTGTTTGTCCCAAAAATGATGGTGGTTTCTTCCACAGCTCTCTCATTCGTATCTTTATTCTCACAGGCTTCCATTCGCGAATTGCACCTAATGACATTTAAGTTCGAACTCTCGATTAATTTTAAACAACGCATATAATTTAAATTACCTTTTATTATTCTCAAAAGTCCCTGTTTTATGTAGCATGATTTTATCTAACTCACCGTAACTGCATAGGGACTGATGGCCCTTCACATTACGATTTTGTAAAAAATGACTAGGCTTAAAAAATTGTCAAATTTCATAGCCCAATTTTCCCGTCTATATAAATCGCAACTGATTTAACCTAAAATAAATAGAACAGTTAGTTCAGAAAGTTACTTTAAAAGTTAATCACTTGGCGTCGCCTTCCTCCCCACTAAGTTTTACTAAAAGAATAATAATTTCACGATGAATTATTAGGCATTGGTGAGTAGAAGCAATCGAAAGGGCTAGAAGTACACTAAGGATGCCCAATTCGGTGCCGGCAAGACTCTTTGCCTCTCACTTGCATGGTGTTCAAGTTGGGTTAACGCCTCCCACCTTCTGGCACAATTTAAACTTCCCCCCACGTCTTACGACTATAACCTGTAATGCTTTGTTTATGTGACTATCTGACGTTCGGCGGTCACTTTAGAACTTGTCTAGGTCCCGTACATGTGGGCTGGCCTTCGGGCCACGCTCAGGCCCCCATTTCTCCCATTGTTTTCGGAATACATGTAGTCAACCTCACTTATGCCATTTGGTGCCTCGGGACGCTACATAATCTTCTCAAACTTAACATTAGGTAATGTGAGCTATTAGGCTTGTCTAAAATACTTGTATCAGATGGAAAGACATGGACTTTCCCACGTCCCGAAGGTCGATCCATCGAATAGACGTCAGATGGCCAAATACGTTGACACCACCCCACTGAGAGTGGAGTGAACCGAGTGACGCCAAGAAAGCACGCTGACCTTACAGACGCTGCCAGTTAATTTGACGCTAAGCTGCAAATGCCGATGACAAAGAGGTTTTGGGTTTTCGACAGATAATGTAGTGTTAACAATTGTAGTGCCTCTAGACATTCTACCAGATGGAAAAGGCACTAATGTGAGCTGAATGCAGGCATTCTAAGGAAGGAGAATAAAATAAATTCGGAACTTCGCCTAATGACCAGCCCACGCATACAAGGACCCGATGGATATTTAAGTAACCTCCAGACATAAGGTAGCCATGTAAATGCAGTATCATTGCAACATTTGCCTAACTAAACCACCATAAGACCGCATTTTTGACCTGATTTTCAATGTTATCCTTCCCAAGTTTTGTTAACTGCAGCTTAGCTTAGTGCTGCACACTAAAGTAAACGCCTGAGACTGACGAATGCAGCTTTGAATGTGCCGTGCTGCTTCACTTCTACTTCACAGTGCTTCCCCATTTGGGCAAAATTGATGTACACAAAAGACTGGCTTCATTGTAGCGAACCAAAACACCATTATGGAAGCGGATGAAATCATGCATCAACAGAAAATGCATATGTGCAGCTAAAAAAGGAAGAGGATTAAGCCTTTCGGCATGGTGTAAAGGCCATCCCACCCAGTGAAAGCTTTTCAACCACCTGAACGACCACAACAGACCCCGCCATTACATCGCACTTCCATTTATTAGCTTTGCATAAACATACTCCTCGAATCTTGCATATTTAGGCCTTAATTACACAAAAACATTCTTAGCACCTCGAGACCTCCCTAAAGGTGGAGGAAAACATTAAATAGGAGGGAATAGGTGCATT